TGGAACGGGAATGCAGGTAGAGCTGTCGCAGTGAACAGAAGCTGGAGGGTCCGAATGGTCCTGTGTGAGTCTTCGGGAACCAGCTAACCTGATGGCCACGTCAGCACCACCAGATGCCTTGGAGTGGGAGCTGAGGAGGAAGAGGACACAAAGCAGAGCTTGAGAACTGAGTGTGCACAGTAGATACAGAGGAAGGCAGGTCTCCCAGCCTGAAGCCCAGGGAGGGGGTCTGGGGGGTCATGCAGGTGGTGATGAACCGTCCACGCTGCCTGGGGCTTACTTGCTTCTGTACATCTATCTCTTTTCTGATGGCAGCCTGGCTACCAGTGGGCTGTTGTGGAAAGACTTAGTTCTCAGCTCCTGTGTCAGATCTACTGCTTAGTCATAGGGCAAACTTGAGCCAGCCCCTTGACTCTATATTGGGTTGTTGGAAAAGTCATGGTGCATTTTTTGCAACAAAAAACATAGAAAAAATACGTCATGACTTTTTGGACAACCCAATAATATGTGTCTTGCTTTACACATGTACGAAGTGACCATCCATTTGAGGGGAAGCAGAAATGTTCCCTTTATTGGCTTACTGTGAAACCTTTAGTGCTACTCTGTCTATAAGGAAACTCACTCCTTTAGGGCCAGGATGGCCCTCTCCAATCCTTTCTTTGAAAATACAGATGCCTCCAGCAGGGTGACATTTTAGCTTTCTACAGACACAAGGGAATCTCTTAAAGAGACAGCTCTGGTCTGTGTGGGTGGGGTGTTGGTACAGGGAGGGTGTTTCTAGTGTGTGTTTGGGGGAGGTGCCTGCATGGGTTGAACTCCATTGCACTGGGATGGAGATAAGGGGTGGGGAAAGGGGTCGAACCAGACCCTGTGGAGATGTGGGCTGCAGGCTCAATCCAGCTAGCCTGACTGCTGCTGCTCGAGTCTCTCCCATGGTCTCTTGGGGGTGCCTGTCCCCGGTGTGCCTCTGTTTGGGGCAGGAAGTATTGGTTGAGAACGATCTGTTGGTGACATGGGGCATTGTCAAATCTGTCAACCTTCCTCAGTGGACACCATGCAGAATTTCAAACACCCAGAGCTCTGGGTTGAGTTTGGGCTGCAGAGGCTCAAGAGCGAGGCAGAAACACCAGCCTTGATCAGCCCCAGCCAGAGGGTGTGGGCTGCCCCCATGAAGGCCCAGTATAGGTGAGAGACATTCACCTCTACCTACTGTCTGCCCATGGCTTGGCCAGCCCGTTTCTTGTCCTATTGCTGCAGGCTTTGGTCCTGCCCTCACCTGCCCTGGGAAACCTGGCTCATGCCTTAGCACAGCTGCGGTGACTGCTTCCCTCACCACCTGTGCCTGCCGCCTCTCTGTCTGTCCTCTGCCAAACTCCATAATGGCCACCAGAACACAACAGTGAATGATCCGTGGTCCTGTCTGCATGGAGCTTGAGGTCCCACGGGAGACAGACATGGAAACCGCGGTCTCGGTGTGCTGGTGTCCCGCGTGGGACTGCCCATGCTCAGCCATGCCCGTCCTTGCTCGGGCCGTGGCCAGGGTGGCGCTGTCTGATGCATCCGCCATCATGGTGCTTCTTCGTGCCTTTCGTGTCCCCCTTGACGTGGACTCGAGGGGATGTAGTGTCTCTCTTAAACACAGGTTGGGAAGACTCCCATTCTTGGAAAAGCACAGGAATGCGAGGGTTAAAATGCCTTACAGGACACAGGAGATAATTTCTATATTTCCACACATCGTCTCAGAGAATTGTAGTGCTCTGGGGTACGCCTGAATGTAATTGATGTAGCTCTTTGGCAGGGCTGTGTGTGTGTGTGTGTGTGTGTGTGTGTGTATGCTTGTGTGTGCACGTGCTGAGTGCAAGTGTCTATGTGCATTCAATTCATCCACTAGGCTGGACGATGAACGCTTACCCTATTGAGCACCTATGGGTGCCAGGCACTGCTCTAGGCGCTTTACACATGGTGCCTAATTTTTACTTTCACTGTGCTGTTGTTTCCCATTTTTCAGAAGAAACCGAGGCATAGGGAGCTGCAGTCACCTGTCTAAAATCACAGCACCAGTAAGAGGTGGAGCAAGAGTTCTAACCCAGGTAGCAGTGTTTTTGCAGGGCCCCAACTTGACATCACCACGCTGTGTGCGTGCATGTGCGTATGTATATGCACTCAGCCACATGTGGGAGCTGAGAGAATGCAGAGAACATTGTTGGGAGGGACTCGCAAAAGGAAAGTGGTATCAAGTGTGTAGACCAGGACCCTGAAGCCAACCAGATAACTCCAGCTGCTGGAGAAAGTGGAGTGGGTGTCAGAGATCTGATTTAAATGGCTTTCTACTTAAGAGAAACAGAGCCTAATGAAACCAAAAGGTGAAGGGGAACATAGTTGGTAATATTGTGGTAAGTTTGCACGGTGAGAGATGTTACGAGGCTTAGGGTGCTGATCACATTGTAAGGTATAAAAATGCTGAGTTACTATATTGTATACCTGAAACTAACATAATATCGTATACCCACTATACTTAAATTAAAATAATAACAAGAAAACTATTTTTTAAAAAAGAAAGAAAAATAAAAATGGAACCGAGAAAGGAGGGGAGCTTTGCTGGCTTGAAACTTGGTACAAGGCAAGCAGTGAGTTTCCTGGAAGAGATTTCCATGAACCGACAGAGCCCGACACAACAAGCTGGATATGTCTTGGCTCCCTCCTATCCTGTCTCTGGCCTGTCATCCTTCAGCCTGCTGTGCAGTTCATCCTGGGTCCCGGAGGGCCTCATAGACTCTTCACCCCAAGGGGCAGATACCCCCATGCAGACTGCTCTCTCTTGTAGGCCCCCCCAGTTGGGATGCTCCTTCCTGGAAGGGAGAGAATCTCCTCTCAAGGCAAAGGCTCCCTGGTGGAGCAGGGGAGCTGTGCCCTGCACGCCCTGGGACGCCACCAGCCACCTACTCTCTTCAGTCTTTCATGCTCAGGTACAGTCTCCAGGCTGTGGCTTCTTGGTTCTGTATGTGGGCTGCTGCTCCCCAAGGCATAGTCTGGGGAACACTTTGGTCTGTGGAGGGATCGTTGCTGCACTTCGCATCCGTATGTGAACAATAAAGGAAGTTCCCGAGCGGTGGGCATCATCAGACCACACTACACGTGGCTCTGCTTGCCAGCCTTGGCAGCAGGTCTTTCATTCTACAAACCCTGAATATTAGACCTTCTGGTGCAAGGAATGGGATAAAACCCCCTCCTGACTGCTCACCGGGTCCAGGGCTAAGGCAAAATCTTTCATGAGGGAATCACAGAGCACGGATGAGCCCCTGGGCCCTGCAGGCAGTCCGTTAGGCTTCCAACCTGCTCTAGCTCCATGGACGCATCCAAGGTGAGCCCTGGGATCTGGACCTATTGGGTTCCCTCTTTCAGGTCTCATGATAGGAGGTAACCTTTACTGAATACCTACTGTGTGTCGGGTGCTGCACTGAGCACTTCACATGTGTCACCTCCTAGACCCTCATAAGAGGTCCAGCAGGTGGGTACTATTATCTTACCCATTTCCAGGGGGAGACATGGAGACATAAGCAGGCTAAGTCATTTGCCCACAATCACACAGCTGATGAGTGACATGATGTTGGGCAAGATACTTACCCTTTCTGAGCCTCAGTTTCCTCATCTGTACAACATGGTTAACATTGTCTATCTGGGTGTTGTGAGGACTCAACAGGGCAACGCACATAGAACCTAGCAGAGCACCAAGCACATAATGAGCACTCATCAGACACGGTCACTTAATAGGAGAGCTCATTTAACTTCACCCTGAAGGCAGAAAACACAATGCCCATAGCACTGATCACAGTAGTGACTAAATAATGAAGGGATTAGCTCTTGAACGCATGCCTTTCCTGAGTTCCTTTAAGTTACCTGAGAGCAGGGACTTTGTCAGCCTTGTTCACTGCGGGTTCCTGAGGCTTTGTACAGCATCTGGTGCAAGGTGGGAGCTCGGTGAAAGTTTGTTGAATGACTGAATGAGGGACTGCTTTGGGGGCTCCCAGGAGCCATTCACAGCATTGGACAGCCCTCCCCTCTCAGCCCTGGCTGTGATCTGAGTGGACTTGCCTCCTTCCCTGTGGGATGGGAGGCTCCCCAGGCGAGGGCAGGTCTGGGTCCTGCCCACTACTATCTTCCCCATGGAGAAGACGCTCAAGGCCTAGCAGTCAGGTGAAAAATCACTTGTTGCCTGCACTGGGTACAAAAGGGCCTTTCTTCTTGGATGGGAAGTGGAGAGCGTTGAAAGCCTTGCTGGAGGTGGTTAGAGACCTCAGGATATGAGCCAGCCAGCAGGCAGCACCATGATCTCAGTGTCTCGGATATCCTAGGCTTGGGTCTAGGGTGATGGCGACCATCTGGGTTTGTAGGCCCCTCCATTCCTTACATAGGGGAACGTTGTTTCTAAACCACACTCCCTCCCCTCACCCCTGCGCCCCACCCCTGCTCCCCACCCCCAAAATGGCTCAGAGGGTGGCTGCTTCTGCTCTGCTACTCTTCACTGAGAAAACGATCCCACCCTTGGCCTGCCTGACCCCCTACTAGCCCCTTATTTGGAAAGACCACCTCACCCCATCAGTATATGACCCACCCTGAGTGACATAACCGCTGGGCTGAATTCTAATACAAGCTCTCATGCCACCCTCTCATAGAATTAATCCAGGAAGAGCCCAGTGCCCTGGGAAGCCACCCTTCCCTGAAGACCTGTGCCCTCTGCTCAGCCAAGGCTTTGATTCAGAAGGGACAGAGAGTGAGGATGAGGAGGATGACGGTGGCGATGAATTCCTGGAAAGGCCCAGTCCCCGGCTCTCCATGCCCAGGATGCCCGAGCTCTGCTTGCATCCTTTCCAGAAATGTAAGCCCCCACCTTTCCAATTTCCTCTTACACCTCTTCTTTATTCCCCGCCCCTGCCTCTGTGTGACAACGTGGCATGCATGCAGCTATCTGGGGATCAGGGAATCCTATTGGGTATGCCAGCTTAATGAAATGCTTCAGTTTATTAAACACAGGTTTCCCTAAGCCCAGAGCGCCTGTGAGTATTTGAAAGCCCAAGGTAACCCCCAGCTACCACAAACGTAATTGTTACATGTGTCCATGCATTTCTGGAGCAACCTCAAACTCCGGCTTTTAAGCAGCACCACAAAATTAGCAACATAAAGTAACTCCTAGTTAGACAAGGCTGGGAAGTGTGGGGAAACGCTGCGAGGGGCTCCTAGGGGCCCTCGGGGCCTCTAAAAGTATATGAAGTTACGGTTACCTTGTAGATTTGGAATGGTGGAGGGCGCTCCCCCCACCCCAGGCCGTTCCTGTTTGCAGAATCAGTTCATTATTAGCCAGGCAGGCCTAGCTTGTCAACGTCACATGATGTAGCTCAAATATTTCAAGTCCTGTTTCAGCCAAGGCGTGCTCTCTGCAGCGGCAGGGCAAGCCGTCTGAGGGCTCCCTCTGGAGCTATATTTTTGTTCCTCCTCCAGGCTTAGCTGTCCTCAGTCTAGGAAGGGCCATGGAGAGAGCCCAGGTGACCTGGAGCCGGCTGCTCTGAACCCAAGGCAGGCAGCTCCTGGGGGATGTCTTCCCATTCATCGGTCTCCTCGGCCTGGAGCCTGTGAATCAGGGGCGAGGGGCTGACATGGAAGCAGCAGACAAAGGCCTCCAGGGAGGTGCCTCCTTCTACCTGGACCACCATCTGGATGCCCGAGAAGGCGACCCTGTTGATGGCACTCAGGGGGACCTGTTCCAGGAACCTCAGCGTCAGCCCGTTGACCCACACACAGCCCCTGCGACTCAGGGCCTTGAGGCTGAAGGCCAGCAGAGCGCTGCCCATCTCCCGGTAGGGCTCCAGGGACAGGTGTTGGCGAGAGAGGTTGGGGAGCCACAGCTGGAGGTGGGCCTCTGGGCTGCGCCCCACAAGCAGCGGGCTGATGTCATGCTGCAGCCGAGGTGGGATGGTGGCAAAGATGGCTGGGCCCTTTGTGGGGTGGTGTAGGCTCACTTGCAGGACCGTGTGGGGTCTCTCCATGGACAGGAGCCTGAGAAGGATGGAACACAGACACAGAGGTGTGGCTGGAGCCAGACACACCTCTGACTCCCTGAGCCCAGACACGCTTGCCCACCTCAGGGACCCTGGACCACCTCCAGCCAAACAGAGCCAAGGACTGACCGTGGATGCTGTTATCCTGGTCAATCTCGGATGGAGGAGCCCAGGCCCACTGGTTCTAGCCCCAGCTTCATCTCTCCCGTGCTCTGTGAGCGGGGCATGCCACCCACCCTCTCTGAATTTTAGTTTTCTTTTCTGTAATATAGGTATGTCTGTCCTTATCTACGCAGCATATAAGGCATTCCAGCTTGCAGGGTAGAGCTTTGGTCATTTGGGGACAATTTGGCCCTGTTTCATCGAAAGGGAAGGACAGACAGGATACGCCTTCCTCCTATCCGACAGTCACACAATGAACCCTTGCTGAGCCCTTCTCTGACCAGCTGCTGGGGTTAAGCAGATGTGAGAGGAGAACAAGCCCTTGCACCCGGAGCCCCCAGCTGGTGGGAAAGACAGGAACTTCTAGCATCAAGCGTATGGAGGGGCACAGAAGAGGGAAGGCCCGCCTGCTCCTGGGAGATTAGAAAGGCTGCCTGGAAACCCTAAGGAAGAATAGAAACAGCTGGGCCAGCTGGGTGGCTCTGTCCGTTAGAGCGCTCTTAACAACAATGTTGCCAGTTCAACTCCTGCATGGGATGGTGGGCTGATGCTCCCCCAACCCCCCCAACTAAATTGACTTGGAGCTGAACGTGTGCCTTCACAACTAAGATTGAAGGTCGACAACTTGACTTGGAGCTGATGGGTGCAGGAAAAAACACATTGCTCCCCAATAAAAGTTAAAAAACAACAACAACGAAAAACGAACAAGAATAAAAACAGCTACCACATTCCAAGTACTTCCTATGGGAAGCCAAGCGCTTCTGGGCCTGAATGCCACAAGCATCCCACCCTCACTGTCTGGGGCAGAAGACAAATCCTGGTGAGGAACGTCTCTCGCTCAAGAACCGATCGGGCTCCATGGAGAGCAACTGGCAATACCTGCCACAGTGTGAAACGCACACTCTGTTTGTCCCAGCAACTCCATATCCAGTAATCTGTCCTTTAGAATCTCACTGGCACATGTGGCATGGCTACTTACAATGGTGAGCTTTGTTCCTACATAAGGAACACAAACTCTCTACCACAGCCACCAACGCCATGTGGCCCAGGACCTGCCCCCACCTTCAACAGCAGCCGACCTTAAACAGGGCTGAGTGCGTTTGAACAACTAATTATACTCTTTCCCAGCACCAGGATTTTGCTTACACTATTTTTTCTACTAAGAATGTATCCTCCGTCCCAAACTGTGTGTTCAGACACTGCTGTTCTTTAAAGGACTGGTTTAAACATGACCTCTTTTACGAAGCTCTTTTCTTCTCTCTGCTCTTGGACCCCCACAACAGGGAGACTCCCCCTGGGGCAACTGGCCAACCACCCATTCAGTGCATCTTTACGTTACAGGTCAGAGTTCTCTGGGTCCTTGTCCTGTCCTCCCTGATCTCCTCCTGTCTCCCCAAGGCCTCTTGAGGGCAAGGGATGGGCTGAGCTGCCACACTGCCCTGTGTTCCACTGCCCAGTGCAGACAGGGCCTGGCCATAGCAAGTGTCTGGATTGGCAGTGCGGGTACATTTGCCAAATAGCTAAATGAGAAGAAGCTTACATACATAAAATCAAGTTTAGATATACCCCAAATTGGACTCTGGTTCTTAAAGGCTGTGGAACAGGGAGCCTGTCACATGTGTACAGGCTCAATGTCCCTCTGAGTCCCTCTCCCCCATGATCTTCTGCCCTTCCTGCCTATGAATGAAGCTGACTAGTGGTAAGGACCTTCTTATCTGATGGTGACGGGTGGGCCCCTCAGGACACCCCCTTTTCCCTAAAACACACACACACACACACACACACACACACACACACACACACACACCTCCATCCACATCCCCCTCTGGCCCCAGCCTGCTGAAAACCTTGTCCTGAAGTGTGTGATATAAGCTGGGCCCAGGACAGCTGGGCTGGGTATCCAAGTCCTCGGGTCTGGCCAGAAAGTCAAAGTTTACTCCTAGGAACCAATCCCAACCCCTCAGAAAGAAGGGTCCACCCCTGCTCCTGTGACCTTACTCTCTGTTCCACTGAGCACTCCAGAGATGACAGAAATCCCCACCACAGCAGGCGCGTCTTGTGTCTCCAGGACCCCAGCTATTGTGGGGAAGCAGAAACCCAGCCCTGCCAATGCTGCTTCTAGGAAGACAGGAGGAAGACACTCTGGGGGGTGTGCTCCTAGCATCAACTGACCTCCTCCCCTTACTGTGGTTTCAAGTCCCTCTATCCTCCACCTCCCTTACTGTCAGGGGCACGTCTGGCTCGGGTACTGCAGCTGTGAGCTGTCAGGAGGAAGTGGGTCCAGGTTGGGGTGCTTCCGGGGGTGGAAATTATGTCTGTGGTTCAGGGATTTGATGTGTCAGAAGTCTCAACAGTTTTGTTGCTTTCTTCCTTTTTCCCCTTTAGGAAAGAAAATGGAAGTGTAATTTATTATTGCAGAAGTGCAACCCCACAGCTAAGCGGTTGAGAAACCCCAGCCTGGGACCCCTGCTAAGAGAGACCCCCTGATAGATGGTTTCCCTCCGGGGTTTCAGCTCAGCCAGTCTCTATGGCTCTGTCTCCAGAAACCCTGACACCTGTGCCCAGAGTATCAGCAACATCCCTCTTCTCCCCTGCCAGTCAGGTGGGGGCAAAGCACCCCAAGCCTGTTAGAAAAGGGAGCTGATTTGAACATAGGGTCAGTGGGGGGAGCCACCACTACACGTGGGAGGCTGTGAGGACAGCATTATGGCTGGACTAGGGGTGGCTGAGGGAGCCGGGGGCAACGTGGCAGTCCCCTGAGTGCCTCAGGGCAGGGCAGAGCCTCAGGGGAAGGGAGAAAACAGCCACTCACACAGAGTGGCCTCTTCTGCAGGACAGCTAGAAAGCCGCCTTCCATGTCTACCACTCCTGAGCTCTGCTGGCCTCTGAGGGCAGTCTGGAAAATGGACGCTTGTTCAGCACTATGGGCTCTGGCTGTCCTAGAAGTGACCAAATGTCACAATGGTGCTAATTCTTCACCTGGCACAGCTCTTCATCATTCACCAGCATTCACATTGCCTGCATTGTGCCCACCAACCTGCCAGGCTGGCCATAGACATGTGCTCATCTTATACAGGGGGCAACTGAGGCCCTAAGAGGGACAGAGCCCAGCCCAAGGCCCCACAACGAGCTAGCAGCATAATCCTTTCTCTTTTTCCCATCAAATCTCACCCTGGGACTCTGGAGGGTATACAGGCGAGCGGCACAGGCCAGGCCACAGCCATCAGCTAGCCTCACTGTCTCCAGGCCTGATGCTTACTCACTCGTTATGGGTGACCCTTGTCCCAGGGGTCTCAACAGGTCACACCCCCAGGAGATAATTAAATTTAAGCCCCTCTGGGTACTATTCAGGGCTCCTAGCCCGCTTCCTCTATTCTGAGCATTTAAACTAGTTGGTTGCTTAGTAACTAAGGAGGAAAAACAGAAAACTCTAAAAACAGTTACCTGTCCCTCCTTGCCCCAGCCAGTGTGACACCACCACTGAGGCTCCCCCAGGAGACCAGCCTTTCCCAGAGGTGGCAACTGTATCTGCCCCTAGAGCTAACCAAGCATTAAGCAAAAACTGGAAACAGCACAAATGTCCATTAACAGGAAAATGAATAAACAAATTGTATGATATGTATACAATGACACACTACACAGCAGTAAAAAGGAGAATGAATTAATGATGCACACAGCAATGTAGATGGATCTCAAACCCATATGTAGAGCAAAAGAAACCAGGCACAAATGATATAGATAGACTGTATGATTCCATTTCTATGAAACAAGAACAGGCAAAACCAGCCTGTGGTAGTAGAGCTCAGAATATTGAATTATCCCTGCAGAGAGGTGTTGACTGGTGTATTGGTTTTCCTAGGGCTGCCATAAAAAAGTGGCAACAGAAATTTATTGTCTCGTCATCTTGGAGGCTAGAAGTCCAAGATCATTTCAACAGGGTCGGTTCTTTCTGAGGATTGTGAGAGGCTCTTCCAGGCCTCTCATCTAGCTTCTGGAGGTCTGCTGGCAATCTCTGGCCATCCGTGGCTTGTAGAAGCATGACCCTGATCTCTGCCTCCATCCTTACATGGCATTCTCCCTATATGCCAAGATTCTAATAGCAGCATTTAAAGCATGCTGATTGGCTGCGGGAGAGAAGCCATGTGTATGCTGGGCTAGACCCCAGGGCTCTTGCTGGCAATATATCCCCTCTCAGTAGAGACAGCTGTACTTCTCTGAATGACCGATGGATAACCAGAAGTCCAAATGGTCACTCTGAAGTGCTTCCAGGACTGCAAATGCACATGGGGCTGAGCCTGCTGAGTGTTAAGCATTACCAAAGGGGAGAAAATCCCCTTTCGAGGTCCCCCAAGTGGGGTTCTTTTCCCATTTGGGGTCACGAAGCCAATTGCAAAACCCAAAGAGTGCAACCTTTTATTCTGTGGCCAGAGAATGGAGAACTGGGAGCGCAGCTCTCAAATCAGATCTTAGAGGTTGAGAGGTGGTCTAAATAGGGCAGCAGAAATAAAGGGGAGGTTTAGGTAAATAGGTAGAAGGAATATTCATGGATTTGGGGAGGAAGGAAGGGGAAGGGGCAGTGGCTTTCTCAGGATCAGGGTTCCATCCTTTTTGTTCCTTTGTGGCCTCTTTCGGCCATCGTGATGCAATTGTCAACTGTCATAACACTGGTATGTGTGTTGTTTAACATGAAGGTTATATTATAATGAGCTTTAAAATGTTTTGGAGGTCATTTAGACAGCCATCTTGGTTTTGATTGGTTTCAGCTAGTCTTAACAAGTTCTTAACAGCTGACAGCGGGCCTCCCTGGTCTCAGAGATAGATGGAGTTAGAACAGGGGAGGGGTTCAGCCAGGCCTCTTAGACCTTCAAGCAGGCCCTGCAGTCCTGTCACGGGATAACAGAAGGTGGCTGGCTATGTTCCAGAGCCTTTCCTCTCTGCCCATCAGTCTCCCTAGCCCAGCTGCCTAGCCAGCTCCATGTCTCTGAGCCATGGAAAAGGGCCTCCTCCTCAGGGCTCCCCACATACACTGCCTTCTGATCCAGATGATAGACAGGTGTTCCTGCCCACCAGAAGAGAAGGGCGGTGGGCCACAGGCGGAAGAGTGGCAGGGAGCTCTGCTCCCCCTCGGTGTGTGACCTTGGGCGAGTCCTATCCTCCTCTGGGACTTAGTTTTCCTCCCTTGGGAATGGGACACCCCTTCCCTACTGTCCCTGGCAACCACGCCTCAGTGAGATGAGGGCTACGTCCATGCTCCCAGCCCCGGCATGAGAGGCTGGATGGGCAGAAGAGATGTATTCATGGACCCTGTGTAACCCAGTTCGAAGCTGTTCCCAGCAAGAGAGAGAACTGAAACAGCCAGGGAATTCATCTGTCAAGAGGAAACCCTGCCCAGGCTGCATCTTCCACAGCCCAGCAGGAAGTCCTGCTGGCAACTGGCTGGCAGTCCCTGAGGGGAGGGTGAGAGCAGGGGACGGAAGGGGCTGGTTTTGCTCTGCTTGGCCCCCTTGTTTAGAACAGCCTCCTCCGGTTGGTGCTGGGACCCTGGGGCGTGTACATCAGCGAGCAAATGTCCCCTGTCATGTGACCCTTGGAGAACTCAGGGACAGAACAATAGCTTCTGGGGCTTTCCACAGTAGTGGGCAGGTCAGGACTCTGGTGTCAGACAGACTCGGGTCAGAGGCCTGGCTCCTTCTTGTAGCAACTGTGTGACCCTAACAAGTTACTCAGCCTCTCTGAACCTGATTTCTGCTGTGTAAAATGAGAGTAATTTGTTGCTGTGTGGGGGCTGAATGAGATATGTGCCAAGTGCCAAGAACATGGTGAGACGTTGATGAATGAGAACTGCTCTTGGCAGAACCTTTAACAGCAGAGTAGAATGAGGAGGCATCCTGGGGAGAGGGGCTTGCAGAGCAGACTGACAGCCTGCACAAACCCCGAGGTCTCAGAAGGCCCCAGGTTTTGCCTGCAATAAACATAATTTTAAAGTTTAAGGCATAATTTGCATGAGTTTAATATAAATTCCATTGTTAACAGTAATGAGGTAAAAAGGATGCTCTAGGAAGAATCTCCAGGTTGTTGTTGGGGGACGTGGCCCCAGCACAGGAAGAGAAGGCTGGCTACCCATTGTGAATATGAGGAAGCTGAGATTCACAGCCATTCGTCAACTAGCCCAAGGCCACAGGTCTGGCAAGTGTCAGAACCAGGACTTGGAGCCAGTATTGAGACTCATGGGCTTATGCATGATGCTATCATGCCTCATGGGTGGTGCTCTCTGGGGTCCAGCTGCTGCCCACCTTCTGCAAACAGACACACTTAGCATAGAGGGGAGCCTGCTTCTAGCCCACCAAGCCAGGGCAGTTACCCTCTCCCCCAGATCCTGATGGCCTGTGGCCACCAGGTGGCAGCATCCCTAAGCCCAGTGGTCCGCTCTTGAAGGTGGAAGCGGAGGACAGTGAACAAGCCTCGTGGAGCGATTCTTGGGACAGCTGGGAAAGGGAGCACGAGGAAGGCCAAGTGCTCAGGGAGGGAAGGGGAGAGAGTTCTTGCTTCTCTGACTCAAATGCCCTGAAATGGCCCACGCTGAATCCACAGCTAACTTCACCAGAGGAAACCAACTCCTGGAGCGTGGAGGTCAAGCAGGAGGCTGTGAGGAGCAGCGGTTCCAAGCACAAGTGCTGGGACAGACGGGCTCAGGAAGGTTAAGTCACTTACCCAAGGACACAGACTTAGCACACAGGACAGCCAGGACAAGAAGTCAGGTGTGCTCCCTTAATCTGTAAAATGGGGTAACCGTGATCCTCTCCAGGGAGAGGGCGCCAAGTAAGGAAATGCATGCAAAGCACTGAGCCCAGGCCGGGGCCTCCTGTGTAGTTAGTGCTAATGCTATGGGTGAACCAGTTGTTACTATGATCAGTGGGATGCTTCCTGCCCCATTGAGCTCTCAAGTAAGAAAAAGAACACCTGTAACTCGTGGAATAGGTGCTGTGAGGGACAACACACAGGACTGTGAACACCAGGAGGGCACCTAATGCACTAGGAATGGGCTACGGGGGCACCAAGGAGGGCTTCCTGGAAGAGGGGACACCTATACTGACACCTGTAGGATGACTAAGAGTTGGCCAGGTGGAACTGATAGTCTGTGG